ATGAAGACGAGCATACGATGTGACTTGAACCACGCCCTCACTTCACGTCTTCTGACAGCGGTTAGAACGGCAATGACTCTATCTTTCTCCTCTGATTCCTATCGAGTTGCCCAAAGGCTTCTCTTCTGACTGTGCTCGTTGGGGCATTAAGCCTAGGTTTGGAACCCCTGCCGCGGGCTCCCCCTTCGTCTTTCTTTTGGTGTGACTGTTTTTCTATCAATATCCGGTGATCAAGAAGAGAATGCCGTAATGGAATGGGCGAGGCCGAGATTAGATTGACTTCCCCTCATCCAGTTCCTAGTTTCTAAGCTACTGATGAATCTAGCTATGAGGGATTCCTCATCTCATAGATGAGGGTCGAAACGAAAGAAGGCAGGATTTTGATACCTCAACTTGATTTGTTGATTGCTTCTTTGGTTGATTGATTCTTGAAGACAAGCATACAGACAGTGACACAGATCCATTTCTGCTTTCATTTCCTGCTAGTTTGGTTGCACTTGGGCTTAAAAGCGACTTTCCAATCTTAATCTTAAGGCTATTGGTATTGCTTCAACCCACTTGGTGAAGTAGTCTGTAGCGGTGATAACAAAATGGTGACCATGACTAGAAGGGAAAGGCGGAGGTACGAAAGAGGGTTCGCTAATTGGATTTCCACTCATAGAAAGCCTGAAGTTCGTCCTCAACTGCTAACAGTTCCAAATGCCCAAACAGGGAAGAAGAAGTGGTATCTGTTATAGATCCAAGGCATTGATCACATACTCCTTATCTCACCTGCTGCATTCTCAGTTTGGCAAGGTTAGAGTAGGTGAGAGCTGGAAGAGTATCTGTCATCTGTGTGATGCTTCAATGACTTCCAAATCTGTGGCTTTGGTTAGGTGGATCAAGCCACCACTGCTCTTTGTCAAGCTTAATAGTGATGGTCGCTGTAGAGATGGTATTTGTGGAGGTGGTGGTGTTGTCAGAGATAGTATGGGTGCTCTTATTATGGCTTACTCCATTCCCTTGGGTGCTGGAACCAGCAACTGGGCAGAAGCAAAGGCCATGCTTTTTGGCCTTAAATGGTGCATTGAAAGAAGGTACAGGTTGGTGATAGGGGAGACTTATTCCTTATTGCTGTCAAGCTGCACTTCACGAATGTGCCCTATGCTGTTGAAAGCCTAGCTCATCCTCATCCATCCTAGTTAGCAGTTCCAGCTCCGTATCAAGGTCACTATCATCAATATCGATCTCATCAAGAAGAAAACCTTTAGGCTTCTTATCCAGGAACTTGTTCAGAAATACCGTAATGAAAGGAAGATAGGAGTTTGTCGCTAGGTATTTGACCAAATAGGATCGTCCAGTTCCTATGGAACCTATCACTAAAATACCCCTAGAGGGTGGATAAGGCTAAGCGGAGCGAAAAGGGTTTTCCATGAAAACGATTTTCCCCACACGAAGTTTGTGAATAAGTGATTGTCTGATAATGAGCAAGGAATATCCGTCTTTCTGCTAAACAGGATGGATTGAACTCAGAATTCATTAGATGCTTTTTATGAATGTCAACTAAGTATCGTAAGTAAATTGCTCCCGGTTGTTCAATCATTTGATAACCAGAGTCATTCTTTGATAAATGATCACTATGAGTCAGACTCAATAGAATTTGATCAATCCTATTTTCTGTCGTTAAGGTGGAGAACTGAACCAAGAATTCTCTTTCTTCATCCTCAATCGAATCACTGTTCGCGACCCAGGATTCTATTTTATCATCAATCCAATCCCCGTTTTTTCTTTTTCTGAAAAATGAATAGATCTCTTTACTTGTATGACTTAGATGTCTCGTATTTTCTCGAAAAAGTGATTCTATTGATGGGATTTGGTATGAGATCGATGATCTCGATGAGATTGATATTCCAATCTTTCTTCTTAGAACGTATTGATTTGACCCCATAAGCGGGGCCAAGCATGTTGCCGCCAGAAGCAAAACCCCGTATAGAATCTCCTAATTGTTCCAGAGCTACTAGAAAGGGATTCTTTAACCAGAAAGAATTCGGTTCAGATGGAGGATACCTATCCAGAAGTTTTCGCAACTCAATCATAGATGATGGAATCATCAAAGATTTGACCTTTTCGAACTCTGTCTCTAACTCACTAGAGGCACGGGAAACAAAGAGAAGATGTGTACGAACGAGAGTTGTTGAAACTAGCATATTGGAAGATCAATCGGCCAAAATAAGCATGAGCGGCTACGATATTCTAAGTTTCTTCCTCTTGACCGAATCTGTAACCTTCATTAGCAGATTCATTTTCTGTGCTTTCCCTGATCAAACTAGAAGTTACCAAGGAAGCATGCATAGCACTGAATAGGGAGCCGCCTTTTACACCAGCTAGGCCTAAGATGTGAAATGGGTGCATAAGGATGTTGTGCTCAGCCTGGAATACAATCATGAAATTGAAAGTACCGAGCTCTACGTTTGAAACTTCAACACAGTCATTCCTTAGTAGCTCGTTGCTACAACTTCTATTTAGCTCGTTCCGTGCTTACTCACTTCACTCGCTCTCGTTCAGTAGCGGTTCTTCATTCTTTAGATAGCCGCGCGAGAGCTCTGAAATTCCATTCAGTTCAGGTCCTTAGTTCCAGTCGAATCGCGAGCAAAGCTCGACACTGCTAGCGAAGCTCTACGACAGAGCATATCCATTATTTCCATTATAGAGCCAATCACACTGCGCTCTCTCTTTACGGCCGGTATGTAGAATCGTCGGAGCGAGCAGAGCAACGGAGCAAAGTGGGCTGTTTGAACTTTGACTCTTATCTGTAAGTAAGGAGCTGAAAACAAGTCCTTAGGAGGGCCCTCATTCTCAATGCAAGCTAGCTCTTACTTGTGTTTAGTGAGGAGGCTACCTAACATACAGGTGACTGCCCTGGATTTCTTCCTTGGGTAGGCCATCCGTGAGTGATAGAACACAGGGAAAGAAAGTCGTATAAGAACGAGGCGGACTCTGCCATCTCTTTCTGTTCGCTTCCAGAGGTGCTTAAGTGGTCATTATCCGGGTGAAGGGATGGGCTGGGGTAGGTAAGGGATTGTGGAACTTTGGTTTTATTTAGCGAGGAACCCTTTCACTCGGCGTCGAATGATCAAAGCTAAAAGCTTTAGGCATCTTTTGAGCATGTTCAGCTTCCAAAATTCCTGGAGTCCTACGCTACGGCATTATCACAGAAAGAAAACATGGCTAGTAGATAACTATTTTCTTATTGTAGAAAGCGATCAGTTCTTTTGATCTTGTTCGGGCTTGGAAAAGCTTCCTTTTTCAATTCCAGAAGTGGAGGAGCCTATGTAGAAGAAGCTGTAGAAGAGCACCACCACGGTTCAGGTCCCGACACATGGGGGATTAATTCAGCTGCAAGGATCGTGAATCAAGGGAAGAATGAGACCATAATTTGGAAGTCGCCCCCGACCGAGACCTAGATGGCAACCTAACCGAGTACGTCATAATTGAGAAAGGGAAGACCCACCCCCCCAGAGCCAGAACACAGGCGCCGACCTCTCCGCCACCAGCACAAGTGAATAAGAAAGGATCACGTCGCCAAAGGTGGCGGTATCACCGTCTACAGGTCGAGTCATGAGATCTAAAGTGCAAATACTCGACGCCGTGAATCAAGAAATTCGGGTGATATACATACGAAGGCGTTGGTCCATCGGTGCCTTAGGGGAAATCATCTGCTTGCTCGGTCACTTTCGTGATAAGGCGCTTAAAAGGATTCTGGATTATATATATTTTGGGAACTAAAAGAGTGGCTGGTTGAAGGGAAAGATAAGCCCTACCCACTATCCTTTCCCAAAAAAAGGGGGCCCGTCCTCGAGAGGACTCAAACTACAACTTATATTTAACTAACCAAAACCACCTCCCCCCATTATTGTTAACGCAATATGTACGGCTTGCGCAAAAAATTCACTATATATTCATAATTATTGGAAGCAATTATAGATATATGACAAGAGCTGTAAATTAGCTTCATTTTGTTCTCCTAGAAAAATCTTTATTACATTAAGTGTAGTGTGTCCTGCTGGGAGTGGAATTAAAGCTAGTAAAAAAAGGGGTCCAGAAAAGTGTGGCTGATTTGTTCTTTTACCATGTCAGCCACACTCTCATTTAGTCGATCTTGATAGTCCGAATACGAGAAGTGTCTTAATCTAGACACTCTCTAAGTTGATAGGATCCAAATGAAAAAAGGAAATACAATGGTAGGATTTGCCATCTTTCTTATTAAATAATGAAAAACCAATTGATCGGGAAAGGTCTTGTTCATGGTGGTAAGCGAGGGAGGATTTAGTAAAGGGATAATGCCGCTTTATACTAATATAGTCCCGAGTTGGTAATTAGAGTTAGAAGCTTCACAGCTTCCTCCACTCACCTCCACGGGCGAATAGAGTCTACTAGACTAGCCAAGAAAGAGTGAGGTAGACTATATTCTAGGTCATTCGGAAGGGCTCCGTATAGTTTTGGGGTGTAACGTTGTGGTTGTTCCCTCTCCTTTCAGTCGAGTGACTTCGTGCCTATCCTTACCGAGAAAAAGGAGTTCCAGAGGCATCTTCCATTCATATCTATTTTGGTTTTTCCGCACCATATTTTGATCTGCCTCTTCTTCGATCCGGAATTCCCAGCAAATCCTTGACTCCTCGAATACAATGGAATTTCACACCTGGCGAATCTTTCACTCTACCTCCTCTTATTAAGACCATAGAATGTTCCTGCAAATTATGACCTTCGCCTGGAATGTGAGCAAATATATCATGTCGATTGCTCAACCGTACTTTGGCTATCTTACGTGGAGCTGAATTAGGTTTTTTCGGTGTTCTCGTTGAAACACGCGGGCATACTCCTTGCTTCTGGGGACATTGATCCAAAGCTCGAGTACGGTCCGTGCGCCGTTTTTCTTCTCTACCATGACGAATCAATTGATTTAATGTAGGCATCGCTCTTTCCTTTGTCCTTCCCCCCTATTTTTGCCCTATCACTAGTGGTTACTCCCGATCCGAAGCACCCCTTTTCCATTCATAGAGAGATCCAATCGTCAAAATCAATAAAAAGGCCATCATGGACCAAGATCCAAATGGATCAATCTTGTTGGGAGGTACTGCCCAAGGAAAGGAAAAGGTTACTTCCGGATCAGGAATAATAAATAAAATGGAAACAAGATAAAATCTTATATCAAAACGACTTCTGGCATCACCGGAAGGATCGAAACCACATTCGTAGGCCGACAATTTTTCTGGATAGGTCGAACTATTGGAAGAAAATAGAAAAGGAAGACCGAGTGGGATCAAAGAAACTAGCGGGCTGATCACTAAATAGATACAAATAGGTGCAAATTCTGACATCACCACAGAAAACTTGGTTCTTTCGCTCCTTGCTGGCGGAGCGGCATACCGGAAAAAAAAAGCAAGAAATAGGAACGAAGTAATTCGACCAAGAGGAGAGGAACGAAGAACGAAACTTTACGACAGCTTTTTCGTAGACGTTCGACTTGCATGTGTTAAGCATATAGCTAGCGTTCCTTCGTAGATCTCCGGATTTCACCCTAACCCAAGAATTTGCTTTATATAGGGAGACTCGTGCCCGCGTGCTGCAAGATCGAGTTTTACTTGCTCAACGAACTCGATTTCCTTTATGTCTTTCTCTACCGGGCCCCATTCGGGGTTTTTGTCCAGTACCTCTCGCTTCTCGGAAAAGAAATCCATAAAGTCCTCGGTAGGATTGGCAGCATCCCCCCTCAAGGCACGATTCCGAGAAAGAATCTCTTGAAAGAGAAAAAAACATTCATGTTTTCTCTCCCTGATTTGCAGGTCTCTGTTCTCGAAACAGAGTAACCTGCAATACTCTTTCTGAGAGCCAGAATTGTTCAGGGTGCTTTTTACTTCTTCCCAATAGGCTCCTTTTGCTTTTTCAAGCAGAAATACGCTATTTTCCCTTTCGAGCTTTCTTATTCGATTAAGCATAGAGGTCTCCATACTCTCATTTCTTATTAGAAAAAAAGGTTCTCGATGCCCTACCTGAAGCCCCATCGCAGGGTCCCCATTTTCCTCTACCCGAAATTCTTGGGCAAGGGGAACCTGCGGGTTCGCCCCCTGTCTCCCGCTCAAAGTTTCTTGTAAACCTGTCACAAAAGGCGCGACAGCTTCTAGTAAGTCGTTCATTTTTGTATTTTAGAATCGATTCCGCCCCTAAGGCTAGCTCCTACTCCTCCTCCTTCTCCTTTAGGATAGGATCCTCCTTGGTCTTACATAACAATAACACAACACTCATAACAATAACACAACACTCTCGGCCGCCCAAGAGGACAATCTCTCAAATACACATGTTGGTGTTGTTGACCCGTTTTTCTTTTCTTTAAAAAATCTCTTTCTTTTTCTTTTTTCGATTTTTCGTTTTAGAATAGAGAAAGAGTCGAAACTAAGGGTACGCTCTCTAGAAGATTTGCTCGGAGCTTTTTGGTCGCCTGCTATCTTATCTTGAAACCTCTTTGCTTGCGGGGGCAGGAGTGGAAAGAGCGCTTCGCGAAAGAATCGTGTGGCGCGGTGAAAGGTTTCCCGTTGAGGTTTCCGACCCTCCAGGTCTCCACCTACTTGTGGAATAGGGGGGGTTCCTTGATATTAAGGTGTCAAGGCGGTCGAAGAAGGCCACAGGTGGAAGCAACCGATGCCTTGATCATTCAATTGACTCCTTGCTGCCAGTCCGTGCTTGCTGTCATGCTGGCAAAAGCAGGGGTTTCGGTCGGTTTTACCTACTATTGGATTTGAACCAATGACTCTCGCCGTATGAAAGCGATACTCTAACCGCTGAGTCAAGTAGGTCAAGCTGAGTCAAGTCACCCTATAAGAGAAAGCCGCGCAACCAAAGTAGCCCTTACTATACAAGGGGGGCGGAGCGTTAAGAAAGAGAAAGCGTTATCACTATACGAAATGAAGCAGCGGCTAGCACGCTAAGCTAAGATCAACCAATGTTCGAACGCGGAGCCTTTCTTTCTCGGTCGTCTGTCTTAATCTTAATAAGCGGATTCCGATTCATGCAGTCCTTCTCTGCTGCATTGGTCTTTTCACTCCCCACTCTCCACCATAAAAAAATCTTTCCACTATATCTCAGGAGTAGTCAAAGGAAGTACGGCGGGTCCGAGTAGGAATAAATTGATTAAGAAGTAGGGCATACAACAATGGAATGGATCAATTCATTCAACAAGATCTGTTCGGATCAGACCAGGATGAATGGGATTGGTCTGACCTCTCGCTCGGATGTAAGACTCCCGCCGCTGACAGATGTCCCATGCCACCTTTCGTGAACAGCTATGCCCGAGAATGCATTGTGATATAGCGCCGAATAAGCCACAGCTCTATTCCCGACTCGAAATCCATAAAGGACTTTAAGGGAGATAAAATAGGGGGCCCTATACCATACATCCTGCTGCCTTGGGACGACTGCACGTTACATCATAGCAGCACGACCAAATGGAGGTGGAAAGCCCTTGTATAGGTTGGGCGCTAGCTAGCGCCTTCCTTATACTAATAGAAAATGTTGGGCCTTCCCCTTATTTATTAGTATTAGTCAAGTTGCTCGAGGACTTCTACTGGGAATGAAAGTTCCCTATTATAGGATCCCTAGTAAAGCCAATTTAATGATGGCCGCTTATCTGAGTAAGAAGACGATGGCTCCTATTATTGGTGAGCGATCTCCTCTACACGTTATCTTTGGGCGTTTTACTCTCTTTCAAAGAGATGACTATTCAAACCGATGACTATTCGGATGCACGTGCTTTGTGAAAATTCCATCTCCTGCACAAGACAAACTGAGCCCTACATCTCACTCTATGTGTTTTCTTGAGTGAGGTTGGGGTACCCCTCTCTCAAAAGGGCTACAAGTGTTAATGATCCTTCTACACGACGATTCCACCTTTCTCGACATGTCACCTTTTTCGAACTTACTACGGAGCTCGGGGCTTTGAGATTCCCTGTGATGGTGGGCCATTATGTTCCCCTGTCTCCCCTTAGAGGGGAGGGGTGGAACTATTGAGGAGTTTATGTGAGACAGCATCAGAATTCTCCGATTTAATAGAGTCAGCAAGATCCGGGTGACCAGAGTGATCAGCTTAAGGGGAAGTTTCGCAGGTTTGTGAAGACAGATTCTCGTCACTCAGTTTTCGGAGCTGAGCCAACTGATTCAGTGGTCTCCCTCTCTCCCTATACTTCGAACCAAGACTCTTCTTCAGACTTAGGTTCTCTAGCTTCTATTCTCGGGGTACGTAGATCCACCCGTCTTCGTTTTCCTATTCATAGGTTTGTATCAACTAAGTCTCTGTCTACTTCCCACGAGTATTTTTTGCAATTTCATCCATCTTTTTTAACCCGATACCTTTGCAGAGGCCATATCTCAACCCTGCTGGCAGCTCTATGCAGAAAGAGATCGTAGCACTAGAATGGTTTGCTACTTGGGATTGAGTCTCTCTTCCTCTAGGGAAAGAAGCCATTGGCTACAAGTGGGTCTATAAAGTCAACAAAAAGCTGATGGAGCAGTTGAGGGGTTGAAGGCTAGATTGGTGGCCAAAGGATACACACAAGAGTATTGAGTCGAACCCCTTTCCTTACAGTCAAGTGGCCCAGGGGCCCCCTTTAGAGATAGGGGAAAGATTTGCCCCAGCTTGGCGAATCGCATCCCCGCGCAACGAATTGCATTGCCAACCTCCTGATTGTCTTCTTATCATTTTCCGTTGCATGTTTGGGATACGTTTGGTGTTCAATATATTCCCTGATGTCAGTAAACCATGGTTTACCGTTGGGTGCCCTTTCAATGGCCAAAAGATCCCTATTGAACATGCCGGGAGTCCACTCAAAAATTTCTATTAGGTTGCAATACACCGGGCTGCTTCTTTGTTCTATCATGATTGGGCGGACTTTCCCTCAGGAATGTTTATCATGGAGGCCAGTGTTGCCAATGCATCCGCGAACTTCTTTTTTCTCTGGGTAGTGGAGAGAAACTTATTTTCTTGAATTGCTCAGTGAGCTTTTCAAGATAAGCATGGTATGTCAAAAGTTTTTCATATTTGGTTTTTCATTTCTTTTGAGTTTGGCAGATGATAAGCGTCGAATCCCTAAATACTTCGATTTCTTATATTCCCAGGGTCAAGGCAGTCTTTAATCCATGGATACATGCTTCATCTTCAGTGGTATTCTTAGTTCCTTAAAAGTTCCGCTTAATGGCAATGGGGGTGTGCGATTCATCAGGTGCAATCAGCAATGCCCCTACTCCGTACCCATTTTGATTAGTCGTGCCATCAAAGTCAAATTTCCATGCCCTCCTCTCCTTACAGTCAAGTGGCTTTCAGCTCCTCTTCTGTGACAGCTATTTCCTCGTCTGGGAAGCAATCCTTAAACTCATGTTCCTCCTTGATAGGGTGCAAGGTGTTCTGCTATCGCCCTTCCTTTTTGGTTACATACGTGATGTCGAATTCAGACAGAAGCAGTAACCATCTTGCGGTCCTTCCCGTTACGTTAAGGCGGGTTTCTCGAACAAATACTTTTTTTGTAGGTCCATGGAAGCTATTAAATGTACTGGGTAAGACAGCATGTAATGCCTCAATTTCCGCCTTACCCGCCAAGCAGGTTTTCTCAAAATTGGTATACCTGGTCTTGTAGTCAGTCATTTTCTTACGTTGGTAGTATATGGCCCTTTACTTCCGTCTGTCTTCATCGTATTAAGCCAACATAGACCCCATAGTGGTTTCAGTGACCGATAGGTATAGTAATAAAGGCTTCCTGGCGTTGTAGGCACTAGAATGGAAGTATTCCTTTATTTTGTCAAAAGCTTTCTGTTCATCCCATTTTCCTGCGAAATTTTGATTTCGAAATTTTTGTATCGGCTCGCAAGTGGTTATACAAGAGAAAGTCAAAGTCTGATGGGACTATTGATCGCTACAAGGCTCGCGTGGTAGCCAAAGGCTACAACCAGCAATAGGGTATAGACTATGATGAGACATTCAGTCCAGTTATCAAGATGGCATCAAGGGCGATTAGGTGTGACTTGCTTGATAAGGGAAAGAGAAGACGTCCCTCAAAGCCCCATTAACGCAAAACAAGTCGATTCCTGCGTTTTTCAATTCCCAGAAGCTCTTAGCTACTCAGCTATACTATAGGCTCTAAAGGCATTACTTGACTGAAAGAGTGCTTATATTATGGGGGCTTCCCTTTCCAACATCTGACTTATATACAGGTCAACGTCGACTTAAGAAGCACGAAAAAAATTAGCTCACTCGACTGAAAGGAGAGGGATGAGAGTAGTCTTTTTCCAATAGGCTGGCTGCCTATTGCAGGAGTTCCTGACCTGAAAGGACACC